CTGACGGAGGGTCAGTACCTGACTGGCAGTGCAGTTAGAGAGGCAGGTCTTGCTGTCAGCTGCCAGGTAGAAGTTGGTGGGACACGCACATTTGTAACCCCCTCCCGGGGCGAGGAGGCACAGATTGCTGCAGCCCCCATTCTCGTGTTTGCAAGGGTGGTCCGGAACTGCAGGGGGTAGGGAGGGGAGGTGGGGGGGAGAACACAGCAAACACAACAGTAAGGCAACCACTTTTACCAACATCTTTACCCATGTGTCACCTGGAACTGCCCAGACCGAGAGAGGGGGCTGAATGGCCTCCTCTTGCTCCCTGTGTGACAGGCTCGAGGAGAGGGGGCTGAATGGCCTCCTGCCGTTCCCTGTGTGACAGGCTCGAGGAGAGGGGGCTGAATGGCCTCCTGCTGTTCCCTGTGTGACAGGCTCTAGGACAGGGGGCTGAATGGCCTCCTCCTGTTCCCTGTGTGACAGGCTCGAGGAGAGGGGGCTGAATGGCCTCCTCCTGTTCCCTGCACGACAGGCTGTTGAGAGGGGCTGAACGGCCTGGCCACGCTGTGAAGCGACCCGGTGGGGAGATACCTGCTGGTTGTCTGTCTGAGTGGAAAATATGAATGTCCATGGGTCTGTGCAGCGTGCTAATTAACATCATCTTGTTGGCCCCTGTGCTCTTGTGGGCTCGGTTTATCGACTTGGTCTCCCAGTCTGTCCAGTAAATGTAATCCTCAAACAGAGTCAGAGCGAAGATATGGGGGATGTCCTGATGCAGAACTGTGTGGGAGTGAGAGAGGGAGACAGGCACGCACACACAGGGTGCGAGAGGGGGAGACAGGCACACACACACGGAGTGAGACAGCGGGACACGCGCGCGCGCACACACACACACAGAGCAAGAGAGTGGGCAGTGACAGAGGGACAGAGCCAGCGAGAGAGAGAGAGAGAGAGAGAGAGAGAGAGAGCGAGCCAGCGAGAGAGAGAGCGAGTGAGCGAGAGAGAGAGAGAGACAGAGCGAGAGAGAGAGAGACAGACAGTGAGAGAGAGACAGAGCGAGAGAGACAGAGACAGAGACAGAG